ATTCACTGTATACTTCCCTGTAATACTTATTTTATATATATATGTATATATATATATATATATATATATATGTATTTTTACCTATTCTCAGTGATTATACGCAATGTATTTTGGTGCATTTAACAATAAAAATAACCATTTTCACATATAAATTTGGGTGTGCTGGTTTATAGACCGTTATCAAAAGTTATTTTGTTAGATAAGCTCCAAATTTGGCTTCAGCACTGACTAATCTAATGTATATGCACAAATATAACATTGTAAAGCTTTCTATGAATAATGATTAAATAAATGATTCTAGTTTGTATTATAAATATGTCTGACAAGTTTTTTTTTTTTGTATATAAATGTTATCACACGCAATGATATTTTGGTAACACTTTATTAATGCAAAAATAAATAAATAAATAGGCTATACTTATTTTGTTTTGATGCTTAAAAACGTGCATTTCATCTTTAAACCATTTATCGTTGTCCAATTATTATATATGCTGCAGTGACAGCACCAGTTTGGACCAAACCATAGCAAAGCTTTGTTGTTCTCAACATTTGAGCTTCAGTGACAGCCACAAGTTATATCTCTGTTTGTGGTTTGGTGTTTAGCACATCATCAATTCTAAACAGTGTGGTGTAATCATGAGAGACATTTTAATAGGAAACAGCATACAAAAAAGAAAGTGCTTGGCCAAAAATACATGTATTTTTAACTGTCTGTTATGTAAAAAATATGAAACTAGCTCATGGGAGAAGCACATAGGGCAATTGACAAAGTGTTTTGGATCGCAAAATGAATGAAGAAAGTGAGAAAGATATTAACAGACGGGTGGCAAACTAGAGCATGCAACAGATGGACAGACATATCAGAAGGCTGGCATAACAAATATGAAGATATAACATGGTTAAAACTCTCAAAATGTACAACTACTCCTGCATTCCTACACTGCCTTATCTGACAGCAGTGAGCTCCAGCCATTTTCTCAGGAAACTGGCCTGTCTCTGATAAGATTAATTCCCGCAAGCCAGTCCAAACAGGCTTTTGGCTTGGGCCTCCAAACCAAGAACATCGTCCAAAACAAGGCAGATTAAAATTCACAAGCCTGCAAACATATGCTGACATAACCCGCCAAATCAGGCTGGCTTTTTTTTTATTGGACACCATAATGTCACATACAAGAATTTCAGAATAAAAATGTGCCAAAAAATAAAATAAAATCAAACTCAGAGAGAAAAGTCCTTTTGTGTGGGCAGAACTTGTTAAATCTTATTTTGCTCAATGGGATATATGGACAGCCAACGATAAATGTTTGGTGAAAGGTTTGTGACTATTTTCAATTTCATAAGGTTTCTTTTACAGCATCGATGTTGTGATGTAGATAAAATATAATCAGTTAAATAGATTTAATCATTTATTTAGTTATTCAAGAGTAAAATGGGATGAAAGACAGTTTAAAAGCATGCGACATTAGTAGCAGACTAGCGCAGAAACTCCATTAAAAATACTGGAGTAAAATTATTTGAATGCAGTGTTTCTTGTCCAGTCTGATACTCACTTTATCTTGTCTATCAATCAGGCAGAGAGGTTATTGATTTGTAAATAAATCAGATCTTAAACATGGTGATTTTGTAATGGGGTGACAAAAGCACTTGGGTTAGTTGACAGAAAATCAAAAGTGTGTATGCAAATAGCCCATTGAATTATTATTGAGCATAACCACTACAAGACTTTTATTTTTTAAACCTATATTATTATTATTATTATTATTATTATTATTATTATTATTTAGCTCTTTATGGATATATAGACAATCTGATTGTGTTTTGTGGTGGTACCTGGATTGTTTAGGCCTAGATAAATGTAACTTTTTAATTTAACCATTATAAACTATTAAATAAATATGACGCACACACCAGCAGGTGGCGGCAAATTCATGTTTATTAAGTGGCTCATTAGAGCAAACTATTTGCTCAAAACAGACGATTAATTAACAAAGCAACTGAAGAAACGTAGTATTCAAAATGGGTAATTGAATCCTAATGTTTCAAAAACAGATTATAGAGGTTGTACAGAGAGACATTCCTTCTATCTTAATTTGAATCCATTAGTCTCATAACGAGCCTACGTTGTATTTGTGATCAGGCTGATACCTTGTGTAATGATGATGCTACTCACATAAAAACTATTTAGTCGTTTCATATCTTTATTAGTGACATAACTTGTAGGATGTTTCAAAATACATTCTAATTGACCATAGGGAATTAGATAATCTTGTCGTTTCCTTTCTGACAGAATGACCAAATAACTCACGAGTTTGCTCTGATTTTAGGGCACACATTTAAGATGAACTGCAGAGAAACATCCTCAGGACTGATGATGAAAATACCTCCATAAGTAATTAGTCAAGGCAAAGTTGTCTGACTCATAAAACACATTGCAGATCTGACTTTATTGAAGTATAATTATGTTTTTGACGAACGTGGCTGACTTCGTGCTATAGAAATGTAGCCATGGAAACTGAGTGCTGCATGTGTTGAGGGGCACTGTGTGTCCAGCTTCCCATGGTGAGAGCTGAGGCATGCTGAGTAGTGGGTTTTACTCAGATATTGCTTAAAATTACGTTATTTTCGTTTTAGGCCGGAATTCGCACAATGCTAATGGGTGAGTATTTCTTTTTTTTTTATGAAAAGTGCATATGCACAAACTTTAACTGATTCAATGTGCAATGCAACATGGTAGGTTAAATTGAAGTTCTCAAGGGTCAATGCTGCCATCTAGTGTATTAAATATATAAATATTGAGGTCTGATAGCATGTTTAGCATCCAGGAGTGTGTGCTTATTTACTATATCAGGGTCTGTATTTTAGGGCAGTTAATCTCTCTAAAGCCAGCCTGGTCGACCAGCTAAAACCAGCCAACCAGCCTAGGCTGGTTTAAGCTGGATTTTTTAGCAGGGAGACCAAGAAAATCCCTAAACTTAACACGTTTCTATTAATTTACTGCATTTATTTGGTATGTGTTTGAGTAAACTGTTAATATTTGTTGAAGGTGTGATATCTAAATTCAAGTAAAATATTTAATGGAACACCCCCCAGAATTATTTTGCCTTCCCATATATTGTCATTGAAAATCAGTTAATCTGCAAAATATGTTTTTAATGTTCTAAAGTTGAACCTTTTATCGTGTCATCTAAAAACAAATATAAACTTGCCTGAAAGGATGGCACTTTTTATTTTATGCCAAAAATTTTAAAAGAAGTTTCATCAGTTGTTTACACAATAAAACTATTGTTTCACTCCAGCTATATTGCCATTTAGAGATTTGTAATTTTATTTTGTTATTATTTGTATAAAATTACAAAAAAAAAGTATGTTTAATTATTTGTTTTTATTTATCAGGTGACAAAATGCTGCACCAATGCTTTAAGGTTTGTTAACCAGCCAGACTGAGGGAGTTTTCAGTGAGACTATATAGTTTGCTCTCTCTTTGGTGAGGTTGCTGGCCCATTTTGGGAAAGAATTGCCGCACGAAACTGCAGAGATGGGAAAACGCAGCCTCATCACATTTCCCCGCTTTGCTAGAGAAGATGCGACTAATTAAACTGACTCCAGATCAGTCACCATGACAAAACGTCTCAGGTGGGCTGACCCAGTTTTCCTCTTAGCAATCACACTCTCATAGTATACACAGGAGGGAAACCCCCATCAACAAACAATCACACAAAGTGCTGGAGGCAGTTGGTGAGCAAATCTTGCTTTTGAAAGGTCACTGAACAAGCAAATTAGGAAAATGTTGTCAGAAGTCACATGCTTTAAATATGATTCACACACTGATGTCATCTTTTGGACAATTTTGTCTATTCCAGTTTTAAATGACAGAAATATTTTGGCTCGTGTGTATTTTTATTAAAATTTTAATTACTCATCCTTTTATTTCCACAATAAAATCTATTTTACAATTTAAAAAGGTTAAGAAATCCTTACATGACTATCATTTCAAAATTGTCTTCTTTGAAATCTATTAAAACCACAATCATTTACCACAGTTTTCATTTAACTGTAAAATTCTGAAATATTTGTTAACAGGCTTTCATTCTGTTGGGAGGCTTTAACATTTTACTAGATGGTGGCATTTTTTCAAGTTTTAAGTTATGAACTGAGTTTGTTATTTATTTTGCAGAGATCAAATGTGAGCTTGGTTTTGACATAAGCCCTTTGAAGCCCTTGGACACCATGTTTTTGTTTTCACCTCAAGAATGCATTTTTTAGTGTAGTAGAATTTACATACAACACATGTGTTCTCATAGTCAAACCAATAAATACACAATGCTTGAATCATTTTATAGCTTGCAAAACAGCTCTATTGCTGTAGTTGTGGCCACTGAATTTGAGCACACTGCTGCATACGAAACCAAGACATTATTTTTTAGCGATTTTGCATTTTTGTTTATTTTTAGACCTACATATGGTAAAAATAAACAAAAATGCAAGATCACTCAAAAATACTGTCTTGGTTTCATATGCAGCAGTATAAAAAATTCTGTGACAGCCTATGGAAGTTTTTGTCCATAAGAAAAAATTATGATTGCTTCAAAATGAATGGTGTTGTTTATCATTGACATTATCCAAGACTGTAAATAAGCAAGGAAAAAATGGCTCATGTTAAATATACAGAAAATGTCTAAATTTGTATTAATATTTTCACTGAAATAAACTGTGGCATTTAGTAAAGAATCAATATTTAAAGCATTACAATTCTTCAAATTAATGAAAATTATGATTAAAATCCTGAAAACTAATGCTGAAAAAAAGTTTTTTCAAGTCAGTTGTTTCATGATATTTTTGTACCCATTAAACCTATAAGGAACTTTTTGTTATTGATGCACAAGAATTAAACTCCATAAAATGTGTAACGTCGTTTAAGTTTAGTCAACTTAAATGAAAGTACAAAAGTATTTTTTTTAAATGTAATTAAGTATCATAAAAAATTCAGATTAATGAATGTTGATCGTGCATGAAAAATATGTTTTATTAGCAAACAAGTTATACATTAATAATCATTCTAATTCTAATCAATGATAATTCAATGTGAAACATTTGAAAATAAAACTTTAACTTAATTGTGATGGTTTTCACAATAATCACATTGTTTGTCTTCATTTTAAAAAAAAATCAAATTCATTAACTACTTAAGCGAAGTTCCAGTTCACTAGCTGGTTAGACTTGTTTAGGCGGAGGAGTTTCTTAAAACATGATTAAAGACCGATTGGAATCCCATTATCCTCATTCTAGTCATTCCTGAACCCGTTTCTCATCTATTTTGGAAACTTGATGTATTTTGTGTATCAATCGTCCTTGTTTTTATGTAATCACTATAGACATGGGCTAAACATGGCCTAAAGTTAAGTTTAAATATAGGTTAAGGTTTACAATCTACTTTTTTATCCAGTTTATATAATGACTTTGATATTAAATCTAAAATAAATGGTGTAAATTAAAAATCTAATTAAATTACTGATTACAAAAATGTGATGTCAAGCATGATGCATGATAAAAAAAGAATAAAAATGTTCTTAAGATGGCAAAAGTTTAATCTTCAAAGCTGATAGTGTTAGTATTGAGTTAGAGTTCAGTAACTTGCAATGTGAAACTATGTGAACCATATTTAAGATGATAGCCCTCACATTCCTAAAACCAGTTTATAATCCTGCCAAACAACCCCAGAGTGCTTTAACACTTGTATTTGCACAGAGTGAAACATTAATCAAGGATTACGACTGAAACATGATTATATTAATACTATAGTTATACTACATGAACATTTTATGTTCTTATGCAGGGAAATCTTCATAAGCTTATACTGTAGGAATGAGGAAAAATTATTTAGCCTCAGGGTGCATGGACCCAAACTTCATTGTGCCTGTTGAGCAACTCCAATGGTGAGTCGTACCCAGCTGCTTCAAATTGGTCTTCAATAAACTGCTTTCCGGCAGCCTTGAGCTCCTCCTTTAGCTTCTGCACATTATCTTGGGCGTCTTGATCAGATGGCCACCCACCAAATGACCTGTAATAGCAAGCAAAGGGAGAATGTTTAAATGGGAAACAGTTTGTAAACATGTTTCAGTGTCATCTTTTGGTAAAATAACTAACCTGACATAGACAGTACCAGCCGGAACAACTGTTTTTCTGATAGTCGTGTCAACTGGATCGGGGATGTTGGGGTCTTGCTGAAAGACAGAAATGGAGACGCGTCGCCCCTCCGCACCATCCTTTACTGAGACCACCACAGGCCTGGTCATAGCAATCTGCTTATCTGAAATGATTGTATAGTATGATCATAAATTTACAATCGATCATGAGTAAATCATCATAATCATTGAGTAATAATGATAATATTAAGAATAATAATGAATGAAAATGTTTTCCTAGAAAACCATAAGTTTAAATGCTCTATAGGCTTCATTAGATAAAATCTAGATAAACATTCTTAGTTAGCACGGTCGCTGAACAATACATCGTAATTATCACGTTTAAAAATTCATAAAAATTAAAAATATTCATAAATCATTAAAATTAACAACAAGACGTTAACAAAGCCTTAAAAATTTTGTTAAAATATATGGTGTGTTTAGCTCATACTAACTTACTGTATGCATTAAAACAATGATTACTGGTTATATTGGATAGTTTGAACTATTAGTTGAACTATTGGATTGTTTAAGTAAATACTTTTACAGTGTTTTTATTTTAAAATGTCAAATTAATTCAGTTTTAATTGTTGTTTTATTGTATGCTATATGTGCAATTTACCAACAACTTATAACTGAATGTTGCTTTTTCTGATGGAGGACGAGATCTTATTGTAAAGTGGCTTCAGTGTAGCTTTACACTGTAAAGAATGCCGGGTTCCAGACAATTCCTTCATATTGTCCTAAATGTTGTCATAAACCGATCAAGCTAACTGAATTGTTTTTGCAAATTTAAGTGGATTGAACATACGATAATTAAGTTGTCCCAAAAAGACCTATGAATTGTGTTTAAACTCACTCCAAATAATTCATTTAAGAAAACAGCAAAGTATTTTTGTGTACTTACTCTCCTTGTTTTGCCCTTGAATAAAATAGTATAGTTTCCAAAATCCAGTTGATACATCATCCTTGCCTGTGCTTAAAATATCGGTGGTAATCCAGTTGCTCATTTCATAGTTGCGTTCTTCTATTTCCTTTTTAAAATTCATAAACACAATCATATAAATACTTCACACACAGTTGACAAAATTCAAGATATATTAAAAAGTCACAGGCCTACCCCATATTGGTTTACCACAGTGTACACAGGGCAGTCCTTTTGATGGCAAAACCAGGGTGCTTGCCAACATTCTGTAGCTGTGAAACATACAAGTCCGACAAGGAGACACAGAGCAGAAGCCACATACATCGCCATTTGCACTTCTAGATGACTGATATGGTTACAGGTTGTTTGTATAATGAGCTCTGTAGACACTCCCACAACACCTAAGGGGAAGTCTCCCTCCCTTTCCTGGTAACATAACACAAGGAAAAATAATCTGGTACACCTGAATGTCATTCTTTTCTTCCACAAAAAAGTAAAAGATTTGAAAGAGGGGAGATATTTTGCATGCAATCCAACGGATAGGCTAGGAGCTGTTACAATTAAAGGATTACATTGTTTTAACCACTGCACATTCAAAACTTTTTTTTTTTTACATTTTCATTGTAATAAATTAATATTTATTTTCTTAAGGGATACTTAAGAAAAAGCGACAATTTACTCATTATTTACTCATTCTCAAGTGGCTTCAAACCTTTATGAGTTTTTTGATTTTGTTGAACACAAAAGAAAACCATTGACCGTTGTAAACAAATAGGGTTTCTTCAAAATGTCTTCTTTGAACTAAAGAAGCATAGTCAAAGAGGTTTTTAGGTTGTCAGGTTTTATAATATACAATATTATATAATTAATAATTTCTGCAATTTTAAATTTGTTTGTGCTAGAGCCAGACCAGCAGATGGTGCTAAAACAAAAGGACACCAGTGTGTCAAAATAAAATTAAGTAATATTTATTATTATTTCTTATTAAAATTAAGTAACATTATTATTATTATTATTATTATTATTATTATTATTATTATTAATAATAATAATAATAATAATAATAATAATAATAATAATAATAATAATAATAATAATAATATTATTATCCATGTACTAGTTATGTTATACCATATACTATGCTATGTAAATATAATTTATTAGTATTATTATTATTATTTGGTTGTGTATTTAAATTGTCCTAATCTCTACCAAGATCTTAATGTAAGGTAGGCTATATATGTGACCCTGGACCACAAAACCAGTCATAAATGTACATTCTTGGATATTTGCACATTATGTGAAAGTTGAATAAATAAACTTTCCATTTAAGTATAGGGTGAATTACGAGTCAGCTAATCCATGCCAAGCTGCCAGCACAAAGGTAAACACAGACACACTCACTTCAATACGTTCAGAGAGAGCAGGCAGACCCATAAACCATGACAGATGCAATGTATTATTGTTATTTGGCTAAGATAGCGGTCCAACCAGTTCAAGTTTGCTAAAAAAATGGCAAAATTTAAGGGTTTCACTTTTTTTGGAGAGGAGCATTCAAATTTGCTGTAACACTTTGCAGTAAGGGTCACATAACTAGCGTTAGTTTATGAATACCAACATGAACAACACATTTATTACAGTATTTATATATATTTGTTTATGTTAGTAGATATTTGTTATTGTTAGTTCATGCTAACTCACACTGTAATAATAATAAGTGGCACACCATTGGATTTGAGCTGTATTAAATGTTGAGCTAGAAATAAATGCTGTAGAAGCGTTGTTGTATTTATTTCATCTTAGAAAAAATAGGTGACTAAGATTAACCGTGTGATCCTTGTTGTAAATCTTTACTGTTTTTTGTAGTATTGTGTAATTATGACTGCAAGTTGATATGTCCTAAAAGGTACAATAGTAACTGTTTAAATAGTCTAAGTTGTAACATATTACTATATTTCCCTCTCTGATAGATGTTACACTGAAATTCTCACAGTAATTCCTAATATAAATACACAAAAAGAACAAAATGTATTATAGAGAGAAATGACAGATTTAATGAATTACAATTTGCTTTTGTCTGTTCAATCCAAGCAGAATTGATCTATTAATTATCAACATTGTGTCCTAGAGCAATATACTTTATCATTACTAACTCCAGCAATAAGTCTATCGTAAATTGCTTTGAATAAAAGTGTCAGTTAATGACTAATGAGCAATTTTTAAATTGACTAGACTGGCATAGTTAGGGATTGCTTAATATCTGGTGTCAGCTAAAAATCAGCAGAGTGATACGAATAATAAAATAATAATAATAATAATAATAATAATAACAGTAGTAATACTACCGCTACTAATTATTACATTATTACTATAACATATTTTGTGTTATTATAGCATCATATATAATAATAATAATAATAATAATAAAATACAACAGCTACAACAACAATATTAATATAAAAAAATAATAATAATGTTAATAATGATTAATTACCAGTATTATTATCAAACACCTTTATTATTAGTTTAATTTCTGATTCAATTAACATGTAACAACAACAACAACAATATAAAGCTAATAAAATAATAATATTTATTATTATTAGTAGTAGTAGTAGTGTATGATAAATTGGCAGCAGATCTACTGTATAATAACCTGTACAATGAACTTAAAACCACCAGGTGGCGCTCAATAACAAAAAGTCTGTAATATACAGGAGAAGGGGGCGTGTGACTGAAGCGACAGAGAAAACGAGAGAGAGAGAGAGAGAGAGAGAGAGAGAGAGAGAGAGAGAGAGAGAGAGAGAGAGAGAGAGAGAGAGAGAATCACAACGCACAGTTTGAGAGGCTGCTGTCACGCTCCATGCGCACAGACGCGACCAGCCGTGCGCCTTCCTAATGCGCCCGTACAGCGGCCACGGGTTCAGCATAACACTGAGCTGGACATGATGCTGACGGACAGATGGAAACAGACACAGTCTCTGCCGTAGAGACAGAGTGTCCATCCGTATTACGAGTCCGTGAGGAGGTGAAGTATTTGCCGGGTCTCTAGGGCTGCATCCCTGTCTTCAAAGTGGACAGCATGGGCAGAACAGCTATCGTTAAAATGATAGTATCAAAAATTCGATCCTAACGAGAAGGAATTTGCAGAAAAGGTGCCAACGGCGGATTTAATCGGCTTGTCGGTGATTTATTTCATAGCCTAGCAGTTCAAGAAGTTGGAAGGGAGGATGGAGAAGCCTAGTCAGCCTCAGCCGCATTCTGGTGGATCCAAAAGCACAGAAGGTCCCTCTGAGGACCTTTCCAAACTTACGGACGAGGAGCTTCTGAAATGGAGCAAGGAGGAGCTGGTTCGCCGGTTGCGCAGAGCCGAAGCCGAGAAGATGAGCGTAATAGTGGACCACAGCAATCTCATCCGAGAGGTAAATCGCAGGCTTCAGCAGCACCTCAACGAGATACGAGGACTTAAGGTAAGGCAAGCCGGTGTTCAGGTGACAGGGTGTGGGCGAATTGGAATGATATTAACCCATTAATTCACACATTTATTTATCATTTTAATTATAAGCACTATCTTGTTTTTGGTTGGTAGTTTGCATTACTAATTTTATTATTGCAATTTTTTATGCAGTGACTTTTGTAAAGGCATACCGTGGCCCATACAGGTGTAATCTAGTTTTAAACATTGAAAAAGTGGCAGTTAGGCCATTTTTATTTTTTAACATTTTATTTATTTATTACATGTTATAGGATTTAGTTCCTTGAACATGCATGTCAAATTTTCTGTCAATATAATAGGGATAAAACTGCTCAGTGGTGATTTGTTTTAAATGTAATTTTCCCATATAACATTATATTGCATGAGAACAACATCTGTTTGAAACATCAGTTTATGTAGCTAAATAAATAACCAGCCATGTAGGAATCTGTTGTTGAAAAATGTGTAGGGTCATATACAGTAGATGGCTATATATGTATCTACATATACGTATACACACAAATACATATTCAGATATTAACATTTTCTACTTGAATAGCTTTTTGTTCTAGAGTATTCTTTCTCTTACTTTGTATTTTTCTGTTGTGCACCACTGCCAACATTTGTTCAACTTCACTTTCATCAGTCACACTGCCTGCTTAGTCTGCTTAGACATTGGTGTTGAGTCATAGATTTTATTGTTGCAGGAGGTGAATCAGAAGCTGCAAGAGGACAACCAGGAGCTGCGGGACCTCTGCTGCTTTCTAGATGATGACCGGCAAAAAGGGAAGAAAGTGTCAAGGGAGTGGCAGCGCCTGGGCCGCTACAGCGCAGGGATTATGCGTAAGGAGGTGACACTATACCTGCAGAAACTGAAAGAGCTGGAGCAGAGGCAGGAGGAAGTAGTGAGGGAGAACCTAGAACTGAGAGAGCTGTGCCTAATGCTGGATGAGGAGAAGGGATCTGGAGGTACCAGCGGGTCAGTAGGCACCGGTGGACCGGCAGGCTGCAGGAATTCAATCGATAGTCAGAGCAGCTTGTCTCATGCCAGCGGTCCTGGGCCTGGTTTACTAAGGGATGTAGGTGATGGGAGCAGTACCTCCAGCGCGGGCAGCACTGACAGCCCTGACCATCTCACACATAAGCAGCAGCTGTTGGGTGGCCCGGTTGGAGGCAGTCCTGACCACCTACATAAGCCAGGCTCAGGGGAGGAGGCACCGGGTCCAGAGAATCCTAGCCGCAGGCATAGCACCAGCCAGGAGTATGCAGCACATACCTTTCCCCAAGTGTGCCGGTCCCGCTGTGGATCCTTCTCCAGTCCAGATCACAAGGGACTACGAGGTCTTAGTCCAGAGAAACTTGCCAAAAGGGGCAGTCCAGAGCAATTCTCTAAACACCTGTTGGTTTCTTCTCAACCGCCCGGCAGCCCGGACCTTTTTCAGAAGCACAGGGGTAGCATGGGGAGTGTGTGTGGGAGTCCAGAGCCCAAACAGATATTATCAGGGACACCGGAGCACCTACAGAAGGGCCGTGTCATATCTGGGAGCCCTGAGTTGTTGAGGCATCAACACGTCAAGTTTGGCAGTCCCGGCCGAGAGGTGGTACAGAAGCGGCCGGGCGTAGAGGAGATGTCCCCTCATCACCGGAGCATCTATAGCGGTATGAACGGTGGGTCCGACTGGAGCCTGCTGTAGCACCCACAGTGACATACATGGAGTCCCATTTGAGCACACCACATACAGAGGGCATAGTCATCCTGGAGACAGCAAAGCCCTAATTTCCGGCCAGGCACTAAACCATCTCATTCAGCCAGCCATGTTCTGCATTTAGTTTAGTTTTGCTTTGCTCAGTTCAGGAGATGCAATGGCCAGATAGTGAAGGAGCTTTAGTGCCTGGCTAGAGCAGAACATTTCATCTCTGGTAAATGTTAGTGGTGTCCAGTCTTGGTCCTCTCAGGCCATGCTTTTAGCAGGCTTTAACTGCCTCCTATCAATCAGCCTCAGTACCTGTGCCTCCGAAGCCATTTTTATGCACTGGAACCCATCTGAGGGAACACTTTAATCAATCAATCAATCAAAGACCAAAAAGCTCAGAGGCCCAACAAAAAGCCAGAAGACAGTGCTGCCCGGCAGGACCAGGAGTGGACACCATTGTATTTGCTTTATGCATGCAGGTGAGTGGCTTGGCAAAGTTTGAGTCAGCAGCACTTGAGAAGGAGCAGTGTTGCAAAAAGGCCAATTGCTTCTATTCATCCACCCCATTTCTTATGATCCCATGAGTCTTTTTCCAGTGAAGACTACACTATTCTCAGTCTGGAATAATACTGTTAGGTCTGTTGAATATTGTGGTGCATCATTGGGTTGTGCAGAATACAGAAAAACTAAACTATTTATCTAGCAGAATAACAATTGTAATTGTACTTGCAGACACATTCAAAAGGCAATTTTGCAGTTACTTAGTATTTGAAATTATATTTCAATGCATTCTGAATACAATTCAGACTGGTGCACAACCCTGATGCATAAGCAGAATGCTGCAGTGCACAAATACTTTCCAGGCATATACATAAGCGCACCACCTAGAATACAATTTCAACTCTGATAGTAAGCTTCATACACCCTTACACACTCAGCGGACGGCTCATAAACACCTCAGCAGTGGTAAAATATTCTTGCAGACAAGCACGCACATTCACCACAAGGTGTTGGCATAGATCTCAGCTGGGTCTTTTCACTCTTGTTCATTTTTGTAGCATCAGCTTATTGATCTTGCTTGTAGTTTCTGGGGGGTTATTTCTACATTATGGATATTTAGTATGTGCATTCAGTGTATCTAACGCAGTGGTCTCAAACTCAAATCCTGCTCTGCATAGTTCAGCTCCAACCAGCTCCACCTAACACCTGGTTAATAGTAGGGCTGGGCGATATTTCAAAACAAATTATCATGATATCTTGTTTCATATCATTCGATATTGATAATTACTGAAATTTTTAACAATATATTTAGGATTATTACGATTTTTTTTATTGAACCACTTTATTTTAATTTACCAACAGACAAATGTATTTAGGCAAACAGTTTTAATAGTCAAAAACAAAAACATTTAAACAAAATATCTAATCTCTTTGTAATAAACATAAAGTGTTAAAGAGACTTAGATCAACATCTTTAAGTTGTCATTAATGATACAGTAAACCTCAAATTCTGTAAACAAAACAAATTATGATAATCAAATCTGAGCTTTCAAGTAAAGGAACCAGTCATCATTATTCAAATGTAAGCTAAACATTACAAATTGTGAAGTTGAATGAGTACATTGCCCCCTATGCAAAAAAAATCTTTCAGATGGGAAGTTAGTGGCTGGGATGCACAAGAAAAGAAACCCAAAAGCCACTCTGGCATCCTTTTTTATTTACAGTCTCCTCACTGCTGCTCCTATACGGCAATCATGTTTGCATGTATTGTTATTCTGACCTGAATTGACAAGCGCGAGCGTGTGTTTTCCTTTACTATTTTCTATGGCATCTCTCGTAACAAGGCGACCGTTTTCTAAGAGGAAAACAAACGGACAAATGCTGCAGCTCTGATGCAAGTTTATGGAGAAAAGTAAAAAGCACTGTAGTTTTTGGGTGCACTGTGTTTGTCTCAGGTAATTAGTCTGCTGTTTTTACTAAAATGTGTATATTCCATAAAAAGTGTGAAGCAGATTGGTTAGTTCTACTTACATGAATCACTGTGCGCTTGGGGCATTCAGAAAAGTTCAAACGTTTTCACTAGGTGTACCTTGAAAATGCCACACCATGTGCACGTCGATCCCATGTGCATGGTTTACATGTCATGCGGTTTCATTGGAAATGACAAATTGACATCCTAAACTTATTGGCATTGCTTCCAGGAGCGTGCTCAGCAGCCACATTTTATAAAACTACAGTGCTTCAAACCGAAACTTCATACCGAATCTTTTTTTTATCGATATTTACAATTGTGTACGGTCAATAAATATCGATACTGATTTTTAAAAAAAACCTCGATTACTTGAATCAGCTTTGTTTGATTAGGGTTGGAGCAAAACTGTGCAGAGCTGCAGCTCTCCAGGAATCAAGTTTTTGAGGCCTATGATCCAAAGTTTGTTTCTCAAGCAAAAATATGTATTTTGTAGGCACTTCTATCCAAGCATGATGTACTGTAGTAGCTTAAAATTTTATTTGTTTGAGAATCAAACAGGCTTTAATTGTGTTAAAGTCGTGGTCTTTTTGCTACATTAGAAGCTTACTTTACTGAGAAATTTACAAAGAAAAAACAGTTTAAATTTGCTTTCAATATACAGGTAATAGCCATAGTTGATAGCATTGTGAACAGATGCTAACATATCAAAAAAGCTGCTGTGAACATTATTGTAGGGGTGACCATGTGAATGTGTGCAGAACAAAAGGGAGAAATATCAGACTTTCCTCCTGATGTGTAGCATTCTCTCCAGCTATATAGTGCTAATGATTTCTTGGAGGAGAAAAGTGCTGATCTGTGTGGCTTGCCAAGGCCGTGGGACTCTTCCTGAAGCTGTGTGCTATTTGCCTTGCGCTGCATTTAATAGGAAAATAACAGCTGCTAATTAACACCTGAGTTCCCTGACCTAAATGGAAGCTCAGAGAATCTCAAACTAGAAAACAACACTTATATTCTGATTAGGGATTGCTCTGATTGTGATATTTTGGTTTATTTATTGTACTAAAACAATGAAATGATAGAACTGGTCATAGATGGGTTATTTAGAAGCTGTGTTTATGTTTTGTTGGTTGTTTCCTCTTTGAGTGCACAAAGACTTTGTATTCGAGCTTGGTACCGGAAAGTCTGTACTCAGATCCATCCTGCTGCTGATTTATGTCTTTTGACACCACCAGTTAACAGAGAGAATCGGCCATTGTGCTCTCTCTCTTTCTTTAGCTCAGTCGTTCACCACTCCTGAGATACACATTTGAGTTCTTTCATTATTTCATCAGACCAAAGCTCTCTTTTCCTAACAGTGCAGATCCAATTAAATTTTTCCACTGATGCTCTGGGTTAGAGCATTTACTGTCTTTTCAATCTGCTTACTTCTTCATAACTTGCTTTTCAGACGAGTCTCGCAATACCCAGTGTGTCTAATTAGCAATAAATACACATAATTTAAAGTAATAATAATTTACACTCTTCATAGAACTGTGTTCTTTACCAAAACCACATGCGTGAGCAGGGAATTACAGTTTATCCCTACTGGCCGTGGCAAGCCAGACTGGATTATCCCTTAAGAAGGTTTTGACGGTCGGATTTCTCTTTTTTCTCCTCCCTTTCTGGGGTGTGTCCACAGCTACTCTGATGTTTTTGGCTTTCACTGATCCAACTTCTCTATAGCTGACATGAGATGGTCTGCATTTGCTATATGCATTCAGAAAGATTCTAGGCCACTTGTTGGCACCATCACATTCAGTGAACCACTGGACATCAAACACAAACTTTTCTGTGTGAATGTTTAAAAAGCATATTTCCCCTTGTGCAGTTCAAATTCAGAGCCACTGCTGTATATTGGATTTACTATGAAAAGTCTTTGAATGCAAAGCCTGTTTTGTCATTCTGTCAAGAGTATGGGATAAAAGCTGAAATGAAACAATGTTATTTCCCGCAGGTCACTTTCTAATGATTTTTTGATTACTGGATGTAAAAAACTTACATCAGTGACATAACAGCTGCTAGTTGCCTGATTTGGGAGTTTAAAGAGAAGCCTTAAGTGTTTTATGAAGGAGTTTAAAACAAATAAGCTTTAAAACATGTCTAAAATGTAATCTTAAACCTAGAACTAAGCAAACCATTTAGGTTTTAAAACTTGCTCATTAATAGAAAGTGTAGCAGAAAGCTTTTGGCATATGACAGAATTGCTTTTTATAAACTTACTAGGATTACAGTTAAGCTCATGCAAGGTTATGCACACGGTTTAAAAGTAAGCCAAGTTTGTTTAAAGCACTGTACTTAACTTTATATTTGTTTACTCTTTTTTTCACATCTCTTGTTTGCTTCAGAAAAAAAGTTATTGTTTGTTTAGGGGTGACTATAGATGGGCAATTTTGTGAGGAATAACTATGATGAGAAATTATGCTGTCCTTTTCAAGGTCATAGCTTGTGACAATCACATCTTTCTAGTTTGTTTAGATGTCATGTGATCATGTTATGTTCACATTTAACAGTACTAGAATTACCATAGCGGTCATTTTGACTGTACTCATATAACACATCATATTGTTATGTCATATTTGAATTCAGAGCTTCTATTGAGATATAAAACATGTCTAAAATGTAATCTTAAACCTAGAACTAAGCAAACCATTTAGGTTTTAAAACTTGCTCATTAATAGAAAGTGCAGCAGAAAGCTTTTGGCATATGACAGAATTGCTTTTTATAAACTTACTGGGATTACAGTTAAGCTCATGCAAGGTTATGCACATGGTTTAAAAGTAAGCCAAGTTTGTTTAAAGCACTGTACTTAACTTTATATTTGTTTACTCTTTTTTTTCACATCTCTTGTTTGCTTCAGAAAAAAAGTTATTGTTTGTTTAGGGGTGACTATAGATGAGCAATTTTGTGAGGAATAACTATGATGAGAAATCATGCTGTCCTTTTCAAGGTCATAGCTTGTGACAATCACATCTTTCTAGTTTGTTTAGATGTCATGTGATCATGTTATGTTCACATTTAACAGTACTAGAATTACCATAGCGGTCATTTTGACTGTACTCATATAAGACGTCATATTGTTATGTCATATTGGAATTCAGAGCTTCTATTGAGATATTAAATGTAAGCTTTTAATGTCAGAATATCTTTTTAGTCATCATCTTAAAAGTACAATAATTTTGGCAATACAGCCTAAATATATATTTAGTTAGGCTACAAGACCACCTGCGAATATTCACAAGCAAGGGAGAAGCGCTTTTTCGCGACACTGAGTCTGCTATTTTGAAAGACATATGAGGTAAAGTTAAGTGTTTGCCAATAGGCAGTTGTCTTTGTTAGCAGGAAGTTGCTAGGCAACAGAGGCAAGCATTTATTAAGTCACAGGGAAAAGTAGCAGACATTAAAAGGGATGCAGCCATTTTGACCGCTATGGTTCAAGGTATAAATACTCATAAATCTTTGATGTTTTG